GCAAAGTCGAAACTGTCAGAGGGGATTATGGTGCAAACGACCAATCGGAGTTTTTGCGGTGTCCACTGTTAAACAGGAGCGGAATTGCAATCGTCCCCCTTTATTGCATTCACTTTAAAAGTTGCAATATTTGTTGCATTTACGCAGCAACGGATACCAGTAAACTGAAGTTTGAGCAGAGCCAAACGCGTTTACAGATAAATAAGCGAGCAGAAATGCCAAAAATGACAACCAGATTTCAGCAACACCGCATGGTCGTATTATCGCCCGTAATATGCTTTATTTCTATGCATCTGCAAACCAAATCTAAAATGATCAAATCTGGAAGAAGACGTCAGGTGATCTGCCGTTAGATATAAAAAAGTGGTGCCCCTCACTTGAGTTCCACGGTACCAAAAGGCTAATGCAGGGTAAGATTGTTCCGGTTAAAGCCATGGGAAAAACAGACTCGCCATTTAAGCCGAACACAAATGAAAACAGCAGTCTTTTACTCGAAAGGTGTGCAAACTTCGGAAATGTACGCACAGAACGAACGGTGGTTAGTAGTGTTCTTCAATGTGGGGAGACCACAGTTTGAATGTAAGATCATGTGAGGCAGAGGCAATAAGTTTTTTGTCCGGAGAGATGTCTGCGTATACACAGCGTCCTGAGTGGCCCTCCAGAGTTCGGATCGGTGACCAGAGGGGATGGCCCCACAACTTGATTGTCTTATCAAAGGAACTCGTCACCAGGTAGTTGTGACTTCCCGCTACAACATGCACAAGTGTAAACATGGCCAGCAGTTCATTCAACAAAAGATTTGCCGAATTCATTGTTATCAGCATAGAATTTAATTTGAACGATGTAAATGTAAGCAAATCTGACAATATCAGCTAATTTTACTGCCTGGGATGGCGAAAAAAGGGTGAGACTGAGAAATATACATGCTGGACACTACGCCCTGACAAATTCACTGACTAATAAACAGGTAGTTCGGGCGTCAACGCATGAAATGAACTTTCGGCTCATGATGGATGATGCAGTGCAGACGGTGTCACGTACGTTCGAATTTCACCGAGCTGACAACGCTGGTGTGTGCGGGGATGACATAAATTGTCTGCTGTTGGCGTAGGTCCCAGATGCGCACGCAATTTTCGGCGGAGGAGGAAGCAGCATGATAGCCGTTGGCAGCGATATCGACGCCAAGCATTTCCTCTAAATGCCCTTCAAGAAACATAATACACCTGCCGGTGCGCAAATCCCACACCCGCCCATAGCTGTCCAGACCGGCAGTGAGGGCTAGCGAGCCATCAGGGTGGAAAGCAATGTCATAGACGGGTTTTGAGTGGCCTTCTTGGTGGAGAATCTCAGCGCACACTTCCAAGTCCCACAAGCGCCAGGAGGAGTCGAAGCATGTCGTGCCCAAGAAGCGACCCGAAGGATGAAAAGCAATTCGTGAAACGCGGTAGGGCGCGTGACCCTCAATATCTGCCAGCGGCTCCTCGTTGTCCAAACTCCATAACTTCACACTCCCGTCCTAAAAAAATATCTAAGCGCCAGTAGGGATCATACATGGGACTTGTAGCCTTTCTGGATGATGGCAGTAAATGCAGCCACATCCGCTAAACTTTCCAGAACCATGTCACTTCATTAAAGGTCAGTATTAAGATTTTCTAGTTAGGTTTACAGGGTTCCGGGACTTGTGAATTTGCCGCATCTACGATAGTGTTTAGCAAACAACAAAAATGGGATGGCCCCAAAGCCTACAGTATCCATTTGAAATGACATAAGACAATTTACATTTCTGAAAAATTAGTACCCACTTTATGGTCTAATGCCAGAAAAAGCTACGACAAAGATTCAAACATTCCCTTACGCAATTCGGAGAATGAATAAAAAGATAATGAAAGATCATGTCGAGGAGTAAATAGGCAGCTGGTGAATCGCGCTACTTTATCAATAGACGCGAGCACTGAACAATGCAGGAAGAATATTTATCCTTTTCAAGAGACCATTTTGCAGAAGATAATTTTAATAAGTCTTCAAAGGGATTAAAACTGCTCAGTTTTTTAGAAGCAATCCCTTTTATAAACGGATTTACTATCCACATCAAAGTCGATAATAAAAAGCGATCCGTAAAAGCTCTTTCAATTGCATGCATACTGTTCCGCAACATTAAAAGTTCGAGTAAGCAATGGAGAAAATTCAAAAGCACGATAGATAATGCAATTGGAATGGACAATGAAAAGAAGTGCCCACCACTTGGCTCAATTTACATGCCAATTTGTGATGACACGACAATGGTAGGAAGCTATCTACCTGCGCAGAGCTGGCGAGAGCGATTTGGAGGTTCGGTTGGAGGCGCGCCTGAGGATGCCAGGCTATGCAACAGGCGCCTGACTGGTGGCCGCGTAGGCTCAGCTGCGGCTCACAATCTGGCACTGACCAGAGGCGGCAAAGGCCACTCAGAGATGTGGTCGCCAGCATCGCCCCATCTGGAGAGAATCGGCAACACGTTAGAGGCCGTGCGTCGCCCACCTGACTGCATAGAAGTGCCGTACCCTTCAAACACCAAAAATAGGCATAATGTTCGGCTGTCGTCCTCATTTTTTCATATAGGTTGCACAAGAACATCAAGTCAATAAAGCAGAGCCTTAACCAGTGGTAAAAGACAAAGTATAAAGTAGTAGAAAATGAATAAAAACAAAACTAACCCATTCACCCTTTCAAAGGCGCAACAAGAAAAAAGCATTTTTATGGATTAGACTTTCTGTTGAGCTGCAACGACGGAATAGGCAAAATAGTTACCCTCTGTTAATATAATGAGGTAATGAAATCTCAAAATAAGGCGAAAGGAGGAGAAGAATTAGGCCATGATACAGCAAACAGCGACAAAATTGCATAGCCTGACAGTTTGAGGTCAAATGACATGTTTATTTTTAGCCAGTAAATCATGTTTTCGTTTAGATGATAAAAAGCACAAACATAAGCCAAAGACACAAACGGTTCAGTGCTTTTCGGCGCAGGCAACCAAAATTTCTATAACCGCCACTTGTTCAGCAATGAAAAGACTGCTGCCTACCCAAGCATCTACATCCGGGATAATGTTATGGTGACTATTAGTGGCACGGAATTCTTTGCATTTAGTGAAACGTGTACGGGACTCTGTGGACGAAATGCAGAAGTTCAGAGAAATGCACACTACAGTATCATTACCTCTGATTTCGTTAGAAAGGCGGAACCCATGAGGTGGAGCATTTAGCAACGGTAGCCGAAAATAGAGCCAAATATGGAAGAATGTACCAACCCGAAGGATTTTTAAGTACTCCTGATAGCGAGCCTTGCGTTGGGGCTCAGGTGTAGAAGCATAGTACCGTCTGGATCGTTCAAGACGTTGTTTGGCCTGAGCCAAAGAATACTTCGCAATCCACATCCGCGCCTCTGCCAGGCCCTCTGGACCTTGGTGGTACCAGACTGTGTTGTTCTGTCAGCAGACGGAAGCAGATAATATGCATAAACTTCACGCACATATAACACAAAGGAGAGAGAAAATGATGGAACTGCTGCCCCTAATTGGATTGGCTTACATCACGAGCTGTCAGAGTAGAGTTTTTTGCGTCAGACTGATCGAGGATGGGTCGTTGAGCCGGCCCTCCGGATACCGCTAGAAACATTCGTAGACGTTCCCGCCTATCAGCTCCATCTTCACCAAATAAACCTAAGTATAGCGTTTCATGATCAAAGTGTATTATCGTAGATGTAGGAAGAGACAATGGATGAGCGCAATTTAACAAGTGACTGCCTTGAAGTTCAAATTGCATCGTGAGCATCTGAAAGTGACAATAGCGAAATAACGCGTCAGATGGATTGATAAACCACTCGCCCCGAGCTTTCTCCAGATCCCACCAAAATCAAAATTTATTTAAGATTAAATTACATAAAGGGAACAATTTAGTGCCGTGATGAAACTTGATTAAGCCAAAAAGTGAAAGTCTAAAATCAGGCAAACATTATGTCGAAATGCTATGCTGCATAACCTCAGTTAAGATTACTACTCAAACTATCCATTCCACTATTTTGCAAACAAAATAAAATAGTA